TTTTATTGGTCTCTTTGGCACTTTTAGTTGTGGCATGCAAGATTACTGGGGTATTTTTTTCAGGAGACACATCTGCAGGAAACTTCAAAAGACAAAAAAGTCTTCAACAGCAAAAGTCTTAATTTGCTCTCCATTTCATCTCACAATGCAAGTTTGAGTTTGAGTGAAAGATCTCTTTTTTTCACCTTGCTCATCAAGAGTTCCTCAAAAAGAAGATGGACTAAATCAACTGGTCTCCTGATGCTGTGCTGTCTTGTGGACATCTTGTGATCGCAGCCATCAGACTGACCACAGGAGCTCAGAAATGAACCAAGAGCACTGTGAGGTGTGCATAAAATTAGTTAAAATAACCCAAAATACATACCAAAAGACCACTGTACTCTTGACCCTGAAATACTGTGTGCTCAGTCACTGAGACTTTATATTTTACAGAAATAATCTTTTTATTTTTTATTTAGTTTGAGTTAGCTTTCCAAAAGTTTTACCTCATTTCCCCATCTATTTCAATCCGGCTTTCTTTCATAAACACCCACATTCAGTGCCTGCAGAGAAGAATATGGCACATATCCAGCATATTGCTTGTGTTTATAAAGAATGATTGCGAAGAATTAAGTCAAATCAGTGAGAGAAATGGCAAGTGGGAATGAATAAAGTGTCTAAAAATGTGTGCTGAATTGAGATGATTACAGCATAAGTCATGAATTTCACAGTGAGATCATGTTGGCTAAATCTGTTTTGTGTTTCTTCATCCAGTGCTTCAGCATGACTTATGGTACTGGCATCTGTTCAGACATGACATGTTCATAGTGAACCCCTCGAGAGGGAACACACCCATGAGGGGCGGAGCCAAGACTAATTAACACCAGACTACCTCGACGCTGAACGCTAACTCTTTTGTTTTACAACTTTCTTTTGTTTTTGTAGTATTCCTCTCCTTTGTGATTAAATTGGTGTTTCCAATGCAAACTCAGGCTATTTTATTCTATTCTATTCTATTCTATTCTATTCTATTCATGTATTTTTGTTTGTTTAATATTTTTTTCATATGAAACATAAATTTCCATGCAGGTCCGGGCTGATTTATGCTGCTTAGTTTTGGTTTGGAAATGGTTGATGCTGGTTAGTATTGTTTTGGCACTAGTTCAGGCTAATTTAGTGCTGGTTAGAACTGGTCTGATGCTTGTCTAACTGGTGCTAACCAGCCTAGCCATGTTGTTCACCAGCAAAACATGAACCTGTTAAGCCATCATGGATGGCTAAGATGCTTTGCTGATAGCAAAAAAGCAACAGGTTCTTGTTGGTAAGCTGTTGTGATTTTGCTGGTTTGGTACTAGTTATGGCTGGTTAGTGCTGGTCAAGCTGGAGGATGAGCAAAGCCATTCTGTTCAAAGTAAAACAGTATGTTCTTCTTCATCAAGCTGGTTGATGTTCTGGCTAAATCAGTAAAGCAAAAGGTTCTCGCTGGTTTAGCTGGTCATTTAATGTGATTTTGCTGGTTTGGAAGTTTGGTGACTGGTTTATGCTGGTTAGAGCTAATCTGGAGGTGGTTCATTCTATGCTAGAGTTGAGTAGAAATATTTTGGTGCTTGTTATGGCTGGTTAGTGCTGGTCAGAGGGTTATTACTAGTTAAGCTGATCAGGTATTGTGATTTTGGTGCGTGGTGGCTAGTTTATGCTGGTTAGTACTAAGAATGAGCTGGTTCATTCTGGTTAAGGGTCTGGTTAAGACAAGTTATACTAGTTTGGTGTTAGTAATGGCTAGTTAGTGCTGGTCAAGCTGGTTGATTTTCTGGTTAAATCGGTAAGAAGAGAGGGTTCTTGCTGGGTAAGCTGGTCAGCTAATATGCTTTTGGGGCTTGGTGGCTGGTTTATGCAGGTTAGTTCTAATCTGGAACTAGTGCTGGTCAAGATGGAGGACAAACAAAACCATGCTGTCCCACAGCAAAACAGCATAGTCAGAATATTCTGGTTAAATCAGCAAAGCAGAATGTTCTTTCTGGTTAAGCTGATCAGCTAATGTGATTTTGCTTATTTAGAAGTTTGGTGGTTGGTTTATGCTGATTGGTGCTAATCTCTAACTGGTTCATTCTGGATCAGAGTTAAGTAGTAGTGGTTTGGTGCTAGTTGTGGCTGGCTAGTGCTAGTCAAGCTGGTTGACTTTCTGGTTAAATACATACAGCAAAAGGTTCTTGCTGGTTAAACTGGTCAGTTAATATGATTTTGCTTTCTTAGAAGTTTGGGTGGTTGGTTTATGCTGGTTAGTGCCAATCTTGAGCTGGTTCATTGTGATTTAGAGTTAAGTAGTACTGGTTTGTTGCTAGTTATCGATGGTTAGTGCTGGTCAAGCCAGAGGACAAGCAAAACCATGCTGTCCCACAGCAAAACAGCATAGTCAGAATATTACAGTTAAATCAGTAAAGGCTTTTACTGGTTAAGACGGTCAGCCAATGTGAATTTTGCTGGTTTAAAAGGATGGTTTATGCTGGTTAGTGCTAATCTTGACCTGGTTCATTCTGGTTTAGAACCGGTTTAGTACTGTTATGGCTGGTTGATCTGGTGGACAAGCAACGCCATGCTGTCCAACAGCAAAAATCATGGTCTTTCTGTTCAAGCTAGTCGACTTGCTGGTTAAGTCAGTAAAGCAGAAGGTTCGTGCTGGTTAAGCTGGTTAAAAAACTGGTCTTGCTAACAAAGAAATTTCAGCATGCCCATTGTCTGTGTTTACAAAGCTAGATGGGACAATAAGTAGTGTTAAACAATTAATGTATCACTATCAAGCCGTCTTTGTTTTGGTTGTATAGTACCATGTATTTTAAGCTTTTAGCTCAACTAAACTGACCACATTTTCCCTGGTGTAGTCGAGAGATCTTTTGACTCTTAGAAAACCTTGTTACGTTGTGAATCTTGCACAACTCTTGCATAAAATATCATCCTTTCCCTCATTCACCTCAGAGAATAAATGAATGAATAACTAATTTCAGTCTGCTGAATTAAGCGACTCAGTTGAATGGAGCCACAAATGAATGGATGAATGAGTGAGTGAATTGATTGATCTCAAGAGAAAGTCGTACAAAAGTTGAACTCGAAATCAACCGCCCCGTTGCGTATTGTGTTTTTGTGTGGGCCTGGAGATGGAGGGAACCGGAATAATGACAGAGGGGATTGAACATGTTTCTTGATCTCTTTTCACCTATTCTCACTGTGAAATGTCAAATTTGAATTGATTGAAAGGAAAATTACAGCTGTATTATGGGATGTCCTGGGGGGAGGGTTGCTGTTGCCACAGAAACTAGATCACTGCTTCTCAAAGTGCTGTTCTCAGCTAATGAGTAAGCAAAGGTCTCATGTCGAGTGGCCCCAAAAAGTATTTGGACCCTTAAAAATGCCTGAAAGTCAGTGCATTAAATAACAAAATATCAACTCAAATGGCATTTATTTTAAAGAAAAAGGTATACTTATTAAGAAGAACGTTTCACAGACATATTGTCAAGTTTTAAGTGATAAAACAGTGGAGCTTAGTCAGGGTAGATGCATCTGTAATTTGACATGAACGGAAATGTGAAGGATGTTCAATTGGTTATATTGTTTTGAGGTTTTATGTCATGTTTAGTGTTTAGTGTTTTATTGACCAAATCAACACTAAATTGCACAACAGTACAACTCATTGAATGGACTGTATTTGTGTACTTGACAGACGTGTTTTTATAGTCAAATTAAAAAAAAAAAAGACATTTGAGATAACATATTAAGGCTGGAAAATTATATATTCACTAAATATTCACAGTGATTTGCTGGCCATGTAAAATAATGCAGGATTGTGAATATTGTGATGTCTGATGGGTTATTTGACTGCGTTGTTAAACTCATTTCACTCGTTTAAACTTTTGCCAGTAGCAAAAATGGCACTGCAGTTATTTCTAAAATCAATTCAAACGGTCAATTTCAGTAACTGATTTAATAGTTCATTTGCATCATCTCTCAAATGTCCACAGCAGTGCTTTATGTTTTACTTTTCAAAGGAAATGCATATACACGACTACTGTTCAAAAGTTTAAGGTCAGTAAGATTTTTTTTTTGTTTAAATCATTATTTTTATTTAGCAGGGATGCATTAAAATAATGCGAAGTGACAATAAAGACATTCTTTTTTTTTTTACAAAAAGGTTCTACTTCAAATAAATTCTGTTCTTTTGAACTTTCTAGTCATCAAAGAATCCTGAAAAAACGTATCAGAGTTTATACAAAAAATGAATCAACTCTTTTGAACATTGCTAATAATCAGAAATGTTTCTTGAGCAGCAAATCAGCATATTAGAATGATTTCTGAAGGATCATGTGACACTGAAGACTGGAGTAATGATGCTGAAAATTCATCTTTGCATCACAGGAATAAATTACATTTTAACATATATTCAAACAGAAAACAGTTATTTTAAATTGTAATAATATTTCAGAATTTTACAGTTTTTACTGTATTTTTAATCAAATAAAAGCAGCCTTGGTGAGCAGAAGTGACTTCTTTCAAAAAAAAAATTCACCTGTGTGACGTTTTTGGTGATTTTTAGTGGATTTATGAAGAAAAAGCGTAGAGAAGAGAAAAGATACAACAGCGTTACAGCACAGATGATACTTGTTTTCTTATTTTTCATCAGACATTTTTAAGCATAGCATCAGTGTTGAAATACTGGAGCTGCTGTGCACATCTGAGGTGCACCAGCCTCAGTTTGGGAACAATTAGAGGAATTTTAACCCTTTAATTACCCGCGTGAGCTCGTCACACATGCCACACACACACACACACACACACACACACACACACTGCCGTCGTGCCCCCAGCAGCCTCCCTCCATTGAGAAAGTTAACAGTTTGTTTTTCACAGGGCTGAATGCTTCACTGCACACATTACTGAAGCCCCTTCATCTCCCCCTTTCCTCAGGACGCAGCCCGTCCGTGAGAGGCTGACTAAAATGATTTCTCTCTCTCTCTCTGTCTGTCTGTTAGGATTGCATTAAACAGATCTGAAGTCTATCGGATGCGCTCCTCTGGAATGAGCCCTTGCTGACACCTTCCTCCTGGTGAGTGCACTCTTTCTGTCCTCATCTGTTCATCTGTGGACAAAACTATCCACTTCCTGTGAGTCTTTTCATCTTGTTGCACTGTGCTTTCCTTTCTTCTTTTTGTCCTGAGAGCAATTTTGCTCACATGTCTTCCCTCCCCTCGTGTCCATCCCGTATCTTTTCCAGTTTTGTCCTCTCTCTCCGCGCTCCATCCCGTCTTCCCTCTCTCTCTCTGTCCCCTCCCTCTCTCCGTGTCTTTGTTGAGGTATGCTGATAAACAGTTTGGCTGTCATCTCCAGACCTCCCCCATTGTGTGTCCAATTTTCTTTGTTCTCTCAGCCTGTGGCGCTGGCCTCTGTGTGTGTGTGTGTGTGTGTGTGTGTGTGTGTGACTGACCACTTCAAGTGTTAAATTGTAATAATATTTCACAATATTACTGTTTTTATTGTATTTTTGATCAAATAAATGCAGGTTTGGTGAGCATAAGAAACTTCTTTTAAAAACATTAGCACTTTTGAATGGTATAGTTTCTTTATATGAATTTAAATTTATAAAAAATATATAATTAATTTTGCAGCATTTATTAATGTTTGGTTAATGATAATTTATAAATGATTCTTTATTGTTTATTAATTTATTAATTATTTTAATGTTAAACTATTAGTGCTGTCAAACGATTAATCGCGATTAATCGCATCCCAAATAAAAGTTTTTGTTTACGTAATATATGTATGTGTACTGTGTATATTTATTATGTATATTACACACACATACAGTATATATTTTGAAAATATTTACATGTGTATATACATTTATATATTTATATTCTTATATTTTATATTATATATATAAATATATTTCATATATAAACAACATATTTTTCTTAAATATATACATGCATGTGTTTGTATTTATATATACATAATAAATATACACAACACACATATTTTGGATGCGATTAATTGCGATTAATCATTTGACAGCACTATAAACTATATAAAATGTATTGTTAAAAAGTTAAATGTTAGTATATGTAGAAATTAACCATGTTCATTAAATGCTGTAAAAGTAATGTTCATTGCTGGATAAAGCCCACTATTGCATTAACTAACATGAATTAATGTAGAAAGTTTTTACAGAAAAAGAAAGTCTGAAAGAAACTTTTTTTGTTTTGTTTTGAAAAGTCTATGAAATGCTATAAATATAAATAGTGTGGCTGTTGGATGCATTTCATAACAGAATTAATTGCTAACAGAAAATCTAAACAACCATGCTAATGAAAATTCATGCATCTGCAACTTTGAGTCTAAGTGCATGTTGTCCATTATTCAGGGCCAGCCGTCGATGTGCAACGATTCATAAACAAATATGCAAATTTACAGCTGTGAGCTGTGTGTTTTGTATCAAGCTCATATAACGTTAATTTAAACATTCTTTTATATCTTTTTTATATCTGCTTGAATATATTAAATTATTAATACTCTGCTAAGACAGATGCATCAGTCACAAACCTGACGTTGTCAGTGACACAAAGAGAAAGAGAGATGGACAGAGAAAGGGAGAATGAGAGAACGAGTGAAACGTGAATGGCGTGAGGATGGACACAATAAAAGGCCGGTCTTGTTGCCGTGCTGTTTAAGATTCTGCCTGGCGTCGGGTCCGTGGTCAGGACTGAGTGAAAGTGCTCAGCTTTGGCGGATGACCACGTGCTCGCTCAGAGCGCCCGTAAAGCTCAACGGACTTCATTCACGTGCTAAAGAGCCCCTGCTTTGACAGATAGTTGGCCGGTCGCACAGAGAAGGCTTTCACGCAGAGACAGTGAAGGAGTGGAAGGTTTAGGGGGGAAAAAATAGCAAACAAGGACGCATCTGAAAAGGCAAACACTTTCAGAGATATAACAAATATCCGTGGAACTGCTCATTTATTGTCTGAGTCTCACCGTACATCTATCTCAGGATGCTCAGGTTGGCGTTGGCTCTCGGCAGCAGAGGCTGCTGGCCCGTCTTAGTGCCCTAACTAGGGTAGTGCACGGACCTCCAGCTGCGTGAATGGGAATACAGTTCATTCAGGGTCTCTTTTAAGGGATAAAGGTTTCCGTTGTGTGACCCCTTTCAGCGTTTAGAGAAATGTTGGGGATTGAGGGTGGCCAGGGTCTCATGGGCAAAAACTTGTTCTCTGTGGGCAATGTTTTGTTGAGAAGTTTATCTGGTATTTTTGTGAGTGAATCTAGCTGCGAGAATTAGCTGAAATTACATGCACTCTGCAAATGATGTGCATCTACAAGACAGAAGGTCTTCATCCTGTGCACATCTTGTTTTCTGTCATGTTTGACATGTGCAATCACAGACTACGGACTTCATTCATGAAATGCACACAGAACGAATTTCTCTGTAAATCATCCGTAAAGCATTCTTTGGAAATTGTTGCACTGAATGGAATGTGACAATTTATGTAAGGATGGTTTTACAGATGATTCATACAGAAAATTGTGCTTGCATTTCACGAATGAGGCTGTAGATGCATTGATTAGAAGAACAACATGGCAACAAACAACATGGTCTTACAGTCATTTTAAAACAGACCGTTTTGAGGCTCTTCAGATGATAAATCATACACACATTTACTCCCACAATATTATTGGCTGTAACTGTGTGCGCACCTCATGCAATTTGCGAAAACAATCCTAAATAAGTATTTGTTTTTCCTGTATTTTTAATCAAATGAAAGCAGCGTATTAGTGATAAGTAACCTCTTTCAAAAAAAAAAAACTTCTTAATGTTGGTGTGTGTGTATATATATATATTATACACACACACACACTTTAGTAGTTTGTAGTAATTTTATTTTTACAGCATTTATGATCCTTATGGTTTATAAATATAATTTATAAATTCTTCACTTCATATTGATTCATTGACTAATGTAAACATATACAACATTTATTGTTAGAAAAACAATTAACATTAACCAATTTTGTAAATGCTGTAAAAGTAATGTTCATTGTTGGGCGATGTTAGACTAATTAACTTCAATTGCATGCACTCTGCAAATGAAATATGATGATTTACATTACGATTTACAACAGGGTCTTGCAATGCTTTTAAAAAAGCACTTTTTGAGACTTTTCAGATGATATATGATACAGAGAAGTTTTTTCCCCACAATATTATTTTCTATAACTGTGCTCAGACCTTGTGATATTTGCTAAAACAGTCCCTAAAAACAGCTATTTGTCTCTTGCTTAATATTGCCTGAACGAGGTGGTCTCGGCTCGATTGAAAACGAACACTGGAGTGGTTCAGTTGTAGTGAGAAAGCAATCCGATCTAACAGACCAACGAACCAGGCTATATCCAATGTATGATGGGTAATTACGTAAGTTCTGTGAAAAGCATTAGCTTTGTTGTTTTGCTAATACTTCAAAATCAACCTGTGAATGTCTGTGGGTGAGCACGTCTTCGCCATTCAAAATAAAAAAACGCACTTTTTCATTTTATAATGCCGTCTTAATAATAACATTGGGAAATGTTTTCCCAATCAATCCTGGACTCCTGCTCAAAATGATAAATTATTATAACGACAGCTACCCAAAAAAAAACAACAATAAGCCCGCGAAGCTGTTATCGTTCCATCCTGACGGAAGTGGAAAACAAAGCAATCGATCTACAGGTGTGAAAGCACCCTAAGAGTACTTTTCTTGGCAGATGACCATCTAGTTATTATACATTACAGAGTTTGATTCGTTTAAACAGTTCTTTGTGGACAGTTATTCTGCTGTTCAAATGTTTGTGATTTTTTGAAAGAAATTAATACTTTTATTTAGCATGCATTAAACTGAACAAAATTGATGATAAAGATGTTTATAATGTAACAAAAGATTTGTGTTTCTACTAAATGCTGTTCTTTTGAACTTTCTATTCATCAAAGTATCCTGGAAAAAAATATTTGATATATTATATATGTACATATCACAGTTTCCACCAAAATGTGAAGCAGCACAACTGTTTTCGACATTGGTAATCATCAGAAATGTTTCTTGAGCAGCAAATCAGCATATTAGAATGATTTCTGAAGGATCATGTGACTCTGAACACTGGAGTAATGATGCTGAAAAAATGGCATCTTATTATAATTTAACATAGAAAATTGAAATAATATTTTGCAATATTACTGTATTTGTCTTTTCTGTACTGTACAGTCTTTGAGCATATTTGTGTAAAACTGCGTAAAAAAGCTTATTGATTGTACATGGTGATGACAGGAGATGAAAGTTTGGAAATAATTTAGCACCAAACATAATGGCAAATGTGACAAGTTTTTATGCATGCTATTGGTTGGTTGCACAAACAGTTAGTCTTGTTGCTATACTTTTGAAACAATCTGTATTTAACATTTTTTTGTTCAGTTTTTTTTACACAAATTGAGAGAAATCATGATTATTTTCTATGGTAATTAACAACATGGTGTCAGTAGATTTGAAATTGTATCGATCATAACTTTGCTTTAAAAATATTTGGCTCTTTCACACACACACACACACAGGCGGACAGTAGTGAAGTATTTTTACTTTACTCAAGTAAATTTAAAATTATCTGTAGTTTATCAGAGTGTTTTTCTTTGGAAAACTGTTACTTCACTACATTCCAAAGCATAAAGTCTTACTTTTTACTGCACTACATTTCATAAATAAAAGTTTTTGTTTGTTTTACCTTTCATACTTAAGAACATAAAAAATGTAGTACTTTCTTGTACTCAAGTAAATCTTTCAATTACTTTTACTTAGGGATGCACCGAATGTTCGGCAACCGAAATAATTAAAAATAAGCGAAAAGACCAAATAAATTGTACCGAACGATGATATGACACGATCAAATAGCAATCAGCATAGAGTGAGAGGCGCGCACTCTTTGTTGTCTAATACACGCACGCATTGCATGTATTCTGACAGCGCTGCACGAACTCGCAGCAGATCTGCTTGTTAACAGGTTCAAAGTCCAAAGCGCGAGGAAAATCTGCGTT